TCTCCATGACTGACCTTCTCAAATCCCAAACCCAAACCCTACTACTTCAACTTTAATATTGTAAACTTAAGTGCAGGTTGAGCGAAGTAATATAATTCTTGGAAGATCGAGGTCGAACCCTCAAGGAATTGTAACAAGACAGCAATCACACAAATACTAAAACAAACTTAAAAGTAACTGATTTGTTTAGGGAATTGTTGAGCAGAGAAAGTTGATTTAAATAATTAAAACAGTAATAAAAATACTAGAGCATTAGGTAATCCCTCTCAATTCCATACAATAATGATTAAGGACTCAAAACTTAACTTGAAACAAGAATCAGATGTTGGTTGATTCGAATAACAAATCAAATAAGAAAACCGAAAATTATAATCAAAAAATTATTCAGGAACCTAAATAATCATCCAATTATATTATTTTATGAAATAATGATAATTACCTCAAGCATGGAATAGCCAGTTATTTACTCGCAGTGAAATTCAAACAATTGATATACATGGTACAATGACTCAAGCATTTTTACAGAGCAAAAATTTTACTATAAGATCAAAAGTTAAATTAATAAAATATCATAAATCATTAAACTCATAATCAATAATATTATCATACTTCATTGAAAGGTTCTCCCCTACCCCTAACTTAGCCTTCTAGTCAGACATGACGAATTAAAATAAAAAAATAGAAAAAAGAATTATTCTAATCCTAATCATCTCTCTAAATAGGTGAAAGCCCTTATTTATAATAAAAATAAATTCTAAGTACAGGTTAAAATGAATTCTTTTCCAAACAAGAAGTATTATAAGGTTAAATCCCGTATATTAAATCTTTGGGGCGTGGAAACAAAATCTGTCTAGACTTCGAGTTTGAATTTCGCATTTTTAGAGATTGAATCACGAAAAATTCGTGAAATACACTTTTTGTAGCCCTTGAAGTCTTCTTTTTAACCCCTAAATATCAAATAAATCGTATATCAGAGTCAAAAGTTATAACCAAAATAATGAAGACGTGTCAAATCCTTATCTTCTTGGATACTTTCTTAATCCAACTCTAAATAAGTTTTCTTTCAACTTGGACTCTTATAAGGATTAAATTGCTATCATATCTTAAAGTCTTCTTATTTCAATCTTGACTCTTCAATCCTTATCAATTATGATTCTTCCTCTAGTAATTGATTCATTTGTCTTATCCATTATTATTTTAATTCAACTAATTTACCTGCAAAATAAACCAAACAACTAGAAAAAGTATCAAATTAAAAAATCAAGGAATTTAACACATTTAATCACCAATAATATGCAATTAATCAATCATTATATATAATAAAATAGCAATTTTGATGGTTAATCACATCCCCCAACCTGAATATTACTAGTCCCTAGTAATACATGGATTTCAAAATCTAAAAATTAAAATAAATAAATAAAATAAACTAATAAAGTAAAACGCAAATTCATTTTCGTAGGTCTCACGATTGTATATAGTATATGCAACAAGTTTTTAAACCCTTAAGTTCTCTTTAGTGGATGAGTATAGTCTCGTGAGGGTTTCCAAAGATGATACCCACAAACATCACCCTATGATTAAATATCTGAATAATAATTTTATAACATAAATTGCTATCACAATATAAAAATTCTGAGCTACAAGCCTTTTTATAAGCACATGTAAAGCAAAATATAGAATTTTACGCTATATAAATGTATGTATTTATCATGTTTCCATATAAACTCGTGTGTAGTGTGAATTAATTATACCAAGTTAGCAATTTATCTAGTAATTACCTCTACAACCATCAACTATTCGTTTCAATGTCAAATCTCACTAGATAATTCACTCATAAAAAATTCTCTCAGATTATAGTGGTTATTTTCTCAAATATCACATGTGAGAAGCAGATATTTAAATCAAAACAAAATAATATTCACATGTTCCACTAAAAAAACGTAATCCAAAAGAAAAGGATTTGATATAGTCTCATGAAAGGAAATCAATACACAATAAACAAATAATCACAATTCTCTTCCTTATTCACACAAGTCATGCATCCGTCAATACACTCTTGAAATCAAATAGGTCTTTATTTAAGGTTGTAATGGGGCCTTAGAACTAGGGTTCTGAAACAAAGGATATTCATGAATTCAAAAAGTCTATCCCGAGAGAACATATACATTATACAACCAATCTTCTTTCTATAACCTTTCACTCTCCACTATTTAGAAGCACAATTTACAATATTTGCTCATATTTTTTTTCTTTTCAAACACATGCTTGCTATTTTTTTTTTCTCTCTTTTTTTTTTTAATTTTCTTTTTCACAGCTAGACATATTATCTTTCTTTTTTCCTCAACTTTTTTACCTTTTTTTATTTTTAGCAAGACAACTGATAGTATATAATTTTATTTTTTTTCAGCAAGACATCTAATGCAAATATTCAAACTTATGCAGAACTATTTTTTTTTTTTATCATCTTTTCTCAACCAACATCTCCCAACTTATATAAACAATAAAAAGTTCAATCTCGGGATAACCAAGGGTAAATGTATTGAGCATATCTTTTATTTCTTCCATATCTTGGCTTATTTGGTCATTGAAAGCTTGTTGGCTTTCGATAGAAGCTAGTTGGCTTTGCATAAATTCACAAAGAATGTCTTCCAATTCTTTTCTTGTGAGTCATGATAGGGTGGATATTGGGGAGTGTGTTGTGGTGATGTAGCATATATAGATAACTGATAATGTTCATTCCCCCAACCAAAATTGGGATAAATTTTTTTTAAACAATGGTCGGGATAAAGTTGAGAAGAATTAGGTAATACAATTGTCTCATTCATCAAATATTGTTGAGCATTTGGAATTAAAGGACAAGCCTCAATGGGATGCCCATACACATCACAAAGCACACACAGTTCTTCCATCGAGAAAAATCTTTACACCACATTAAAAAAATATAAAAATATAAAATAAAAATTATGAAATATCTAACATAAGGAAAAATAAAACCTATAAATAACAAATAATAAAAAAAAGGGACGAGATTACCGAATCTATGACGAATCTCAAATCTGGCAAACCTCAATAGATGTGATGGCTCATTGTCAAACATTTTTCTGGCAACAGCGCCAAAAACTTGCTTCAACTTTAATATTGTAAACTCTAGCGCAGGTTGAACGAGGTAATATAATTCTTAGAAAACCGAGGTCGAACTCTCAAGGAATTGAAACAAGACAACAATCACACAAATACTAAAATAAACTTAAAAGTAACTAATTTGTTTAGAGAATTGTTGAGCAGAGAAAGTTGATTTAAATAATTAAAATAGTAATAAAAATATTATAGCATCAGGTACTCCCTCTCAATTCTATACAATAATGATTAAGGACTCAAAACTTAACTTAAAACAAGAATCAGATGTCGGTTAATTTGAATAACAAATNAGGTAATATAATTCTTAGAAAACCGAGGTCGAACTCTCAAGGAATTGTAACAAGACAACAATCACACAAATACTAAAATAAACTTAAAAGTAACTAATTTGTTTAGAGAATTGTTGAGCAGAGAAAGTTGATTTAAATAATTAAAATAGTAATAAAAATACTATAGCATCAGGTACTCCCTCTTAATTCCATACAATAATGATTAAGGACTCAAAACTTAACTTAAAACAAGAATCAGATGTCGGTTAATTTGAATAACAAATCAAGAAAACCAAAAGTTATAATCAAAATATTATTCAGGAACCTAAATAATCGTCCAATTATATTATTTTATGAAATAATGATAATTACCTCAAGCATAGAATAACCAGTTATTTACTCGCAGAAAAATTCTAGCAANTTAGAGA